GTTATGCTTTTGATTTTGTTTTCAAGCTATTTTGATTTGGTTATAATGTTATGAGACGAAGATTTTACTATAATTTCTCATTGCTTAAAACATTTATCTATTTGTTTCCTCAAAAATCCTCTGGTGGCCTCGCACGTGTGAAATCTGGATACGGGCGTGCCACTTACTTTGCTGAAAGTAAGAAAGGAGGACTTTCCCAACGACCCTCTCCTTCCTCACGGTCGACTTCTTAGCAGATGGCGGGAAGAACGTTGGATTAAAATGAAATATGTGCCTTCAGACAATTTGCAAGAGGGAGGGATACCTTCCTGCAAAATGAGTTACGAAATCTGCCTTGGACAACTCCAAGGACTTAAACACTACCGCGACTTAAAATTAACAAATCTTAATTATTCTAAATTACCTGCAATTTAAAGTAAATTTGCGAGATAAAAGTTGTGCCCAAATTAAACTAAACATGTTCATTGTTGAATTAAAGTGCAATGTACTGGCAGATCTAGAAATTAACATGCTGCAGAATTAAAGATTTCATCTTAATTAACAGTAAAAATTAACGAGAACAGTAATTAAACTACCATGCTTGAAGTTAAAAAGAGGTATGAACACCACATAAGTAATCATTGAATAAAATGCTACTTATCATAAACATTAAATTAATTACAAATGAAAAGAAAACAATACCTTGCATAAACTTGAAGGATTGAAGTTCATTGAATGAAAGGAAATTGTTTAACTGAATATAGGAATTAATTTGTCTACTAGAATGATGAAAAACAACCTAATTCTAATGGAATCTGTGCTGAAATCTGAAATCTGGAAACATGTGCAGAGAAAATCAAAGTATGAAAATTTGCAGATGTTTGAGTAGGGCTGGCCGTGTGTTCTTCCTTCCAAAATTTCCTTTTTGCTCCCCATGTACCGACTGTAACTTTCACTTTCTGCAGTTACCCAATCATAGGTGGTTTTTTGAAGTAGTGGGACACCTCACCTTTGACCTAGTCTTATCTCTTTACAAATTTCGCCACCTGTACTTTATCAAATAAAATCCCCTTTTTAACTGTGATCTTCCCCTATTTTCTAGCTACCATTATCTCTTTCTATTTCAAACTCCTCCAGCCAATAAAAATTTTACACGTTGCATTAATTTAAAATTTTACAATTTATGGTGTAAACACTATTTCTCATAAAAAAAATAATATAACTTTTTCACATCATTTTGGCAAAACCCACAAATCCACCTCGTAAATAGCTTGGTGATCTACTCCTAAAAAAAATACAAAGATAAATTATCCTTTCAAATTATAAATCAAAACAAATCACTCATCTTTTAACGAAAAACGTCAACATTCTTTTTGCCACGTCAGTATTTTTTAATCGTCCAAAAATAAATAATTTGTTTTGATTTATAATTTAAAAGATAATTTACTTCTATATTTTTTTTGAGAGTTAGATTTGTCCCCATTGATCTATTTATTTAAAAGGTGGACTTAGAGGTTCTACCCATCATTTTCCCCTCTCAATTACTACTTCTCAAAGCATCAAACCGTATTTCAAGTAACAAAGATCACAAGGAATAAAAATTATAAAATGGGTATTTGTAGATTACCAAACAAAGTGCATCAATTCTGTTAAATTTACAAGATATATATTAATATATGCCAGAACAACGAAACTCAAATATATACAAACAAGTTTAAGCCTGTGTTTTTTAGTTATGAACCATGACTAAATCAGCTGAGTTCCCCTCTAAGAGCACCGGCAGCTCTCTGAATTGCGCGAGCAACTTTCCAGATCTCGTGCTGAATTGCCTTCTGTTCATCTCCCGTACTCATTCTCGTCGATTCTTGGATAGAATCTGCTATTCCAGGGAAGAAAACCAATTTGCTTTCGTGATTGTTACAAGGTCCATATACCTACAAGGAAAATGACTCGATTAGTTCCATGCAGGCGGCTGTTTGGTTGCTTAACATATATAATATATGAATAATGATAAATAAGACGAAAATTTAAGACCAAAATCTGAGATTAATGACGTAATATAAATCACGTCATTAAAATATAAAAAAATATACCCTAAATTTTCGTCCTCCCTATCATTACTCATGATATAAATACTACCGTTCATAAAGTTACTTACAAGGTGTTTGAACCATTGCCTTCCTTTAAGTCCCTCGGGATCCAAGAAACCTTTTTCTGCAAGCAACAGCCTATCGTTCAATGCTCGCATTTTCAGAATTATGGATGTTGCTGCAGCTTCTTGCTCCATTAGTCTCTATATTCCAAAAAGTAGATGCCAGTATGCCACGGTGCAAGTTAGATAAGAGAACTATTGTGCCAGGCATTCTAACTTGTAAAATTCATCTAGTTTTCAAGGCTTTTTACCTTTGCTTCATCCTCAGCTTGTTTAGCTGCAGAATAGAGCTCTTCAATTGATGCAGTTAACAGAGCAATAGATATGCTATTATCCACGAAACTGCTCAAGACATCTTTATACTCCTGAGCACAATGAAGGAGCGCATTTCAAGTTCACAAACCACAAACTCTTAACATTTATGACATTGAAAATATGCAAAGGATGTAACACAAAGGTTAGAGAGACAGGTTAGAAAAATACCTTTAACTGATCTGCGTAACTATGGTAGTTGAAAGGTAGAATTGAATCATCAGCCAGGTGAAGGGCTAAAAGTCCCCAAATTCCAGTCACTGAGAATGAAAGATCATAGGAGAAGTGTCATCTTAAGAACTGATAAAAAGAACATTTTGGCTATCAAATTTCTGGAGACCAAAATCGATGTTTGCTTTAGGAAACAAAAACTAACCAGCCAAATGGCGGTGAAAGAATGGATCCGCATTGTTTATCATCCAGTCAAAGGAGTCAAAAGCTGTATGATAGACAGGAAAATCTGGACAGAAAAAGGATATACAGCATGTCACTCATTTTGCATACTGCATGTAAGGACACAGAATAGCCTGCATAAAAAGACTAGCCTACTTCTATAGCAACGGTCATTAAGCTCACACAAAATTCAACCAAATGTATGTCAATATAGGGATTAGACATGTACCACTTCCATAGTAAATGTCAACAGAAGGAACCCCTGCATGTTGCAAGAAGGGCACAAAATCGGAATCAACACTATTTAGTCTTTGAATCTGCCATTCAGTCAAGAGAAGTGAATTTAAGTCTGAAATTTAGCTCTAAATCTCTGGTGAGTGAGTCATTCTATATTTATGAAGGAGATAAAACTTAGATGGAATATCCTAAGCCTGACTGAGCTTTCTTAGCAGGATGATAAATAACTGAAAATGCCAAAGAAAAAAAAAAAAAGGGTCCTATCACAAGCAAAATAGTAACTGAAGATGGAATATCCTAAGCTTGACTGAGCTTTCTTAGCAGGATGATGGTTTCCAACGTGGACACATGGAAGTGCACTTAAGGAATGTCTCAATCATTAAAAAGTTAAATCTTGCAGGGATTTACATTTTTTACTCCATTAATGGTTGTCCATTTCTCATATACAGTTGCACCCTCTGAGTCAGGATCCTTGATCTGAAATGTAGTTTAGTAAACATACATAGTAAATCAAGTACGAAGAAAGGAAAATGACAAAAAGAAAGAAAGAAAAAAAACCCTCAATTTCTTTCCCTTTTTTTATTTACCTTTTTTGTGACCTCAAAAATAAGATTATCTAGCTGAGGAGTTGCCCCCACAAAGAATCCAGGCCCTTGAACTGCACAATCTACATTAAGGTAAGCCACAGCTTTGGCACCAAGATTAATGAGATTTTGTTCAACCCATTCTGTTGACCCTATCTGAGAGAACAACCACAGTACATCAACATATTGTAGAGAACTCTATTCACAATTCTTTTCAATAAAAGAAGGTTGTTTTAACTTTTAAACTGATTCCTCAAGATCTTTGAAACAATTATTTAACAATAACTGAGATTAACTCAATATTTATAAATAAAGGCACTTAAATAGATTATTGAGACAAATGAATCTTTGGCACGTATTGCAAAGAACCGCAGGGATAAAGATAGATTAATGATAACATAAAAAGTTAAATGGTTAATTCAAAAATCAGTACATGCCAGTGACAAACATGATTGAATATTACCTACCATTCCAAACTCTTCTGCATCCCAACTGCAGAGAACAATTGTCCTTCGAGGATTCCAACCCTTGCGCATCAAAAGGGCATACCGTCGGGCAATATCAAGTAGAGCCGAAGTCCCACTGTTGGGGTCAACAGCTCCATATGTCCATGCATCCCTATGATTCCCAAGGAGCACATAGCGGTCTGGCTCTTCTGAGCCCCTTATGACAGCAAAAACATTGTAAATTGTTGCCAATTTTTTTTCCCCCTGAAAAATGATCGAATTATGTCAATTTAAGAACTTTTAGAAAGTGCAGGCTTGAAAAGATGATGATTTCTTTTCTTTTTCTTTTTTTTTGGGTATGTGATGTTTTCTATTTTCTTTATTTTCTACAATTCCTCAATAAATATAAAAAAAACATCTATAATAAAACTGGAAACATATTAATAGACTTGAAATTAAGCATATCTATCATGTATAATGAAACATACCAGACAATCATCATTTGCTAGTTATGCATAAGAAGAACCAGCAATGTGACCATTATCTACTATTTATAGCTTAACTATGTGATGTTATTTGGCCAAAGGGTATCACACAATGCCAGTTAGTGCGAGGCTACGTAAAACTTGTCTCTGTTGGATCATTTCCAATTCTTCCAACTGTTTCATTCCTCCACTTAATCTTTCAACTAGCCATTTAACTTTAGTCAAACTCAACACACAAACTCTGTTTATCCGAAATAATTAGCATTGATCTTGCCCCACTTTTAACTAATTACTAATCTCAATCACCAAAGTCAAATAACTCTC